AGTCCTGCATCAGGCTCTCTACTGAGAGTGGAACCTACTTAAGATTCTCTCTCTCTTTCTCTCTAAATCCCCACTCTCTGCCACCCCTCTCCACTGCTCATGTTCTCTCTCTCTAAAAATACAATCTTTAAAAAATAAGTAAAATTATAAATAATACTGATCTAGTCCAGGGGTCAGCAACATTTTCTTAAAGTACTATATAGTAAATATTTTAGGCTTAGAGGTCTTAAAGCCTCTGTCTACTACTCAACTGTAGCAACCTAGCCTGAATGCAGCTATATATAGTATGTACATGAATGGATGTGGCTATGGTCTAATAATAATTCATAAAAGCAGGTGTCTGTACCATTAGCAGCAGTCAATTCCTGATCTAGCTGATCTTATTCATCTCTACTAACAAGCAATAAATCAAGGGTGCTTCAGTAGTTCAGTGAGTTCAGCATCTAACCTTTGATTAAGGCTTAGGTCATAATCTCCTGATTCATGGGATTGAGCCCCATATTGGTCTCTGTGATGACAGACAGCATAGGGCCTGCTTCAAATTCTCTCTCTGTCCCTCTATCTCTGTTCCTTCCGCACTCATGTGTGTACAGGCTGCCGCTCTCAAAATAAACTTTTTTAAAAAACAACAAATCATACTACTTTTTTCTTCAATATACACCAAATAGTTCATGTTTACATATATGTACTATGTACTTGTTCATATACATGATCTAGAACATGCACAAAACCCTTGTAAGAAAACATATTATTGTAGTAATTATACAAACAAAGAGCTGAAAACATCATAATCTTGTCCACAGTCACACACCTAGTAAGCAACACAGTCCACTTAGATCTCAAGGTAAATCTGAATTCTCTATCTCCATGTCAAGATACTAGAATGCATATATTATGTTTTCTATTTATCCTGTGTGGATAGAATTGACTAGTGGTTTTGATGCCTGAAATCACTAAGCAACTACAGTAATCGGTTTGTTCTACCATATAATATGTTACTAATTGGTGAAAATAATTTATCCTTGGCTATTACCAACAAATAACTACTCCATTCCAATTAGCATATGTTTGTATGTTTGTATGCATGTTTGTTTATTAGAATATATGATAAATAATATTTTTTAATTTCAAGCAACACAGAGAATGAGAGTTTCACATCACTACAACCTAACTCTGAATCTCAATGTGCACTACCTTGCCATAAATATTTGTTTTTGCCTATGCTAAAATATATATCCAGATATTATTTACTTATTGTTTTACTTTCTTGTAACTATATTTCAGTTTTAAAGTTTTTCCTTTTTTTTTTTTTATATTTGAGAGACAGCATGTATGCACAGCTGAGAAAAGAGTAGTGGGGGCGTGGGGGGGGGGGGAGACGGAGAGAATCTTAAGCAGGATCTACGTTTGTGGAGGCTGACACAGGGCTCAATGCCAAGCCTTTGGGATCATGACCCGAGCAGTAATCAGCAGTCCAATGCTCAACTGACTGAGCCATCCAGGTGCCCCTTAAATTTTTTTTAATTAACAGGAATCTTCCATGCAAATATATAGAATTTCTGAATAGTATCCCATAATATATATGAAATTTATTTAATTACTTCCCTATCAATGAGCACTTAGATTGTCTCTAGCTTTATAGTATTACAGAACTAAAACAACTGTCTTTGCACACTACCTCTTGTTACACAGTAACAAATTTCTTCCTAGGATAGACAAAGAATACTTGATCAAGGGTAGGCATGCTCAAACTTTGACTGTTGTAAAAACTTACAAAAACCCTGCCAGTGGTTAATGTTCACATTTATAAGACTACTGGACATAATTTAAGAGAAAGAAAAAATCAGATCAAATCTTGTAAGAACGAATGTTTATCTCCTAAAACTCTCTAAATTCTATCAACCTCTCTCCATTTGCACTGTAATCACTTCAGTTCAAGTTGTCAACATATCTGGACTGCATACTGCAATATCCTCATCTTAGTAAGTCTTCCTGCTTCTATTCTTGCCCCTCCCAAATAATCACTATACTACATGAAGGGTGATTTTCTTAATCTCTCCCATGTATCTCTCCCATGCTTAAAATCCAACTGTGACTTCCTCCTACTCCTAAGAAGAAAAACTCAAAATACTTGGCATCATTTAAGCAGGTCTCTGTATGATACAGCCCCACCCTCCTCATAAGCCTTAATCACATCCCACTCTCTATCCCCAACCCTGAAACAAGAAAAAGAGCAAACTAAGTACACTTTTATTTCATTTTCTCAAATATACCATGATTCATCCTAACTCAAGATCTCTGTATTCCTTCAGTCTGGAATTAACATTATCTCTTCTTCACCCACACCGTCCCTTCACTTCAGAGTTAAGCCCAACTGTCTCTTCCATAGAAAAGAACACTAAATCAAGGCATGGAGTAAAATTCTCACAAAATTCTCTAATTTAACTTCCTAGCAAAATGGCAGTTCTATAAATCTGCAATCATTTCATTATCATCTATTTATATAAGTTTCATGACAAGATGGACTGAATCTCTACTACATGCTCTTTCTCCCCAGAACTTAACATACTTTCAGGAACTGTATTATGCAGCAGAATTTGAAAATATGTGGTAACATAATATTTGACAATGCCTATTAGTAAACAGCACTAAGGTGACAAATTCATCAGTAATAATAATATCTAAGTAAGACAAGAAATAACAAGGTCACTCACTGGAATTACCTTTCTCGTGTCTACATTAAAAATCATTCTTTTTTTTAATGTTATTTATTCTGAGAGAGAGAGAAAGAGAGTATGAGCAGGGGAGGGGCAGAGAGAAAGGAAGAAAGAAAGAATTCCAAGCAGGCTCTGTGCTATCAGCATGGAGCCTGATGTGGGGGACTCAATCTCACAAACTGTGAGATCATGACCTGAGCTAAAGTCATGAGTCAGACGCTTAACTAAGCCACCCAGATGCCCTTTCTTGAAATAAACATTAAGAATTGCTGAATCCAAAATATTTTTGTTTGTTATTGAGGAGACTGTAAAGATCAGTTTCTAATCAACTGTTTTCACTTTACAAATGATGGCAACTGAAGTTTACAAATACTAAGAGACATATTTCCTTTCATGTACAAAGCAAACATGACATTGCTGGTTGCATCGATTAAACAATATATGCTGCTAAAATCTGTCAAAATCCTCAGAAAACTGTATGACCTCAATAAATGTTTCTCAGATCTCAACTTGACCAAGAGTACTATCTCCCACTAACAAACTGAAAACAAAGTTTGTTCACCCATGTCACAGATCACCACTATCCATTACCCATAATCATAATGCAGGTTTACATTTTTATGGGAAAAAAAATCAGTTACACACAAAAAATCATGTTAAATACCATTGTATCAATACAATTTCTATTTAAATATAACATTTATTTAAATACAATCACTATGCCATACTTAATCAAAGAGATACTTACTAGGGGCCTGCCTAATATACAATCTGTGTAATATAAGATAAAAATGTGGGGGCACCTGAGCGGCTCAGTCAGTTAAGTGTTTCACTCTTGACTCTGGCTCAGGTCATGATCTCATGGTCTTGAGATTAAGCCCCACATTGGGCTCTTGTTGGGCATGAAACCTGCTAAGAATTCTCTTTCTCCCTCTCCTTCTGACCCTTCCCTGCTCGTGCATGCACTCTCAAATAATTTAAAAAAAAAAAAAGTAACAAGATGAAAAAGTGCAGTTCAGGCAGAAACAACAAGGGTTTATAAAACATTAGGTTAAGTACGGTGCTGGAAGAAAAGCAAAGAACATTACAGGAGCACAAAAGGAAATCTACCCTAACTTTGAGGGGAAAGAAAAGCTTTTCTGGAGGCATAATACATCAGCTAAGACTTAGAGGATTAGTGAACTGGCCAGGTAAGTACACAGGTAAGCACGCATTGCAGGCAGGACAAAGATTTAAAAAAAGAAAGAAAATATTATGTGGAGATCTCCAAACTGGTATTACGTTTAAGTTAGGGAGTAATAAAGACATAGGAGTTAAGTAATTAGAAAGGGCTTAAATTTAATCTCCTATATTTGGGAGAAAGAAGGAGGACAGGTATTGATGGCTTTCCAAGCAGGTAAAGAAATCTAGACAGCCTTTTTTGTCTTAGATACCTGGAAGAAAAACACAAGGTCAGGAAACCAATTAAAAGGTGCCTACAATCTCTTGGAAGAAAGGCGTATAAATGAACTGGGACAGTAAAAACTATATATAATTACAGAAACTACTGACCCCTTTCATTATATCTAAACCATTGTTCTCATACAGGATCACAGTATGCAGACTCCTAATTTGCATCTTGATGAAACTTCCAAAAGGAAAGGTATGTTACTACACTCATCATATTTCCCAAAGAATATAAAATAAGACCCAATTCTAGATCTATCCTACAACTCCAACAAATCTCAGGAGATGCCACCAGAAATGCCATTTGGTATATCCTTAATACTACTCTGGCAGCCAGAATGGTCCAATGATCTCAATCTCAGGGAAAATAAGGTGGAGGGAAGTGTTAGAGAAACAGTAGAATATAGGATAGGAGTTTATAAACTACTGTAAAAGGTCCAACAAAATATTTATACTTCGCAGGCAATTCATTCTCTAACACAACTTGTAACACAAAAACTGTCAAGCAATTTGTAAAGGAATGGGCATGGCTCTGTACCAGTAACACTTTCTAAAAATAGGCAGCATGCCAGATTTGGTCCATGGATCATAGTATCCTGACTCCTGAGAAGGAGAGTAACCTCTTTGCGCAATACCACAAAAATACTGATACTACAGTAGTATTACTGTAGATATACAGAGCGCTGGATGGATATGGTTATTGTAAAGTCTAATTGCTGTTTCACTTCAGACATATTGCTCAACTATGAGAGAACCTATTTGATGTGGTTAAAAAAATATTTCATATACAAAAGTGTCATGTATTTTTTTAAAATAGAAGAAAAGTGTAATACTTACTGTAACACTGGTAACTCTGAAGTAATCATTGCTGAAGAGGTCTTTCCACAATGTAGCAAAAGAATCAAGTGCTGTACAATTCAAAACTTTTTAAGTAACTTCAAAGTCAATCCTGTTAATTAAAAAAAAAATACTTTATTTCCAATTTAACTGAGATATAATTGACAAAAAATTATATGATATTTAAACCATTATGTGATGATTTGATATACGTACACATTGTGAAGGAGGCCTTCTTCCCCTCATCAAGTTAATCAACATTATCTATCACCTCACATACTTACCTTTTTTAGGTGTGAAAACATTTAAATTCTACTCTCTTAGCAAATTTTGATTATACACTTCAGTGTTATCAACTATATGTTACCATATTACAAATGGTAATGTTACATATTAGACTTCAGACCATATTCATCTATAACCGAAAGCTGTATCCCTTCACCAACCTCTATTTCCCTTACCCCCTAATCTCTAGCAATGACATTTCTACTCTGTTTTTATGAATTCAACTTGTATATGTGACTCCATGTGATACTGGTCTTTCTTGGACTTCTTTCACTTAGCATAATGCCTCCAAGTCCATCCATGCTGTCACAAATGACAAGATTTCCTTTAAGACTGAATAATGTTCCTGTATATAAATAATGTACCACGTTTTCTTTATTCATTCATCAACAAACAGGTTTCCCATACTGTGGCTATTATGTTGTTGCTATAAACATGTGAGTACCAATACTTCAGGAAAATAATTTCATTTCCTTTGGAAACATACTCAGAAGTAAGACTGTTAGATCATATGGTAGTTTTAATTATTCATGGAACCTCTAAACTCTTACCCATAGAAACTGTATTAGTTTACATTCTCATTAAGAGTATAAAAGGTTCCCTTTCTTCCACCTTACCACCATTAACCTCCTGTCTTTTTGATAACAGATATCCTAACAGCTGTGAAGTGACATTTCATTGTAGTTTTGATTTGTATTTCTCTGATGATTAGTGATGTTCAGAACCTTTTCTGGTACCAATTAGTTATTTATATTTCTTCTTAGGAAAAATATATATTTAAATTCTTTGAAAAAGAAAATTATTGTAAAGTGACATGAATATGCTAGAATATTTACAATCAGTACTACCAAACACAGTCCTTGATATTTATCAAGTGAATTAAAAACTTAAGTCCACACAAAAGCTTACACACAGATGTTTATAGCAGCTTTATTTAAAGTTGTCCAAACAGGGAAACTACCAAGATGTCCATCAGGAGGTGAATGGATAAACAAACTGTGGTACGTGTTGAAAATGGAATATTATTTGGTACTAAAAAGAAATGAGCTAGCAAGCCTTGAAAAGACATGGAGAATTCAAATGCTTATTACTATGTGAAAGAAGCCAATATGAAAGACGTTACATACTGCATAATTCCAACAACATGGCGTTCTGGAAAACATAAAACTGTGGAAATGGCAAAATGATGAGTGGTTGACAGGAGTAAAAAGTATACATAGGGAATAAATAGGCAGACGCAAAGGACTTCTAGGGCAGTGACACTATTTTGTATGATACTATTATGGTGGCTACATGTAATTTTATACATTTATCAAAACCCACAGAATATACAATACCCACAGTGCACCTAATGTAAGCTATGAACTTTGGCTGATAATGACATGTCAATGTAGGTTCACTGATTTTAACAGATGTACCACTCTGCTGTGAATATTTGAAAGTCATGGAGGTTTGATGCATATGAGAACTAGAGTATAAGAGAACTCTCTCTACCATCTGTTCATTTCTGTGATAAACATAAACCTTCTCTAAAAAATAAAGTCTATTAAGGAAGGGGGGAAAAAAAGACAGGGAAAGTGGGACAAAACAGCATTCAAGACAGACCATGATACAGTATCAACTGAAATAACATAAGTATATAAGACTGGAATTCCGAGAGAAAATAAAGTGTAAAAAAAATGATAGAACTTTCTGAAAATAATTTAAGATACTAAAACACAAATACAAGATCAGGGAATTCCCAATTAGAATAAATACTATAAAACACATGTACTGCTAAAAATCAAAGGTTAAGGAGACAATTAAAAAGGAAGCTAAAGGGGTACCTGGGTACCTGGGTGGTTTAGTTGGTTAAGGGTCCAACTCTTGACTTCAGCTCAAGTCATAATCTCACAGTCTATGAGTTCAAGCCTGTCAGGCTTGAGATTCTTTCTCTCTCTCTCTCTGCCCCCTCCCCTGCACATTCTCCCTCTCCCTCTCCCTCTCCCTCTCTCTCTCTCTCTCTCTCCCCCCCTCAAAATAAATAAAAATAAACTTTAGGAAAAAAGGAAACAAAGAAACAGGTTTTCTCACACACAAGAAAAACAAAGATAAGAATTTCATCAAACTTTTTATTGAAGATTATGTACGTTGAAAGTCAATGGAACAACATCTTTCAAGTACGGAAAGAAAAAAATAAAACATTTGATTTATATCCTCAGTGATACTCTATCCAAATTGAAAGGACAGATTGATCTCATGGGAAATGAAGGATCAGAAAGCTCCATGAACCAGCCCTTCCAGTAAAGTAAGTCTTAGGTTTGCAAAACTGACAAAATCAAATTTTACAGACATCTAAAATCTTAAAAACAAACAAACCAAAAAAAAATAACCTGTAACAAAGAAAAAAGTACTTAACAAAGAACCTGCCAAAAATGTGGTAAGAAAAAGCACTGTAGGGGCTCAGTCAGTTAAGCATCTGACTCTTGATATCAGCTCAGGTCTTATCTCATGATTCATGAGATCAAGCCCTGCATCAGGGTATGTGCTGACAGCACAAAGCCTGCTTGGGATTCTCTATCTACCTCTCTCTATGCCCCTGCCCTGCTAGAGCGTTCTTGCACATGTGCTTTCTCTCTCAAAATACTTTAAAAAAAAAAAAAAAAGAAAAAGAAAGTACTGTACCATTTTGCTTATCTACCAACTCCCCTCCTCCACAATCAACAGTATCCATAGAAATGACAGACCAATTTCCTGGTGCAACTTTCTGGTAGCAAAAAGAACAACATGGATCTTTTTCTCAAAAACTATGGTTGTGTTTTCTGAAGGGCTTCTGAACTACCATCTTTCCAAGGAAACTGAAAACATACACCACAAACAACTGATGCAAGAGAGAGTGAATGTGACAAGGAGTGGACAACCTGAAAAGCTCCAGAATAAAGATGCTAAGGAAGAAGATATTCTGGGGATCAAGGGCTTTAAAGAGTTAATCACATATACCAAGAAATCCAAAGTGCTAATACATGCCCTGGGCCAAAAGCATGTTTACAGAAGACATGAGAGGAACAGAGGCTTGCAACTCTACCTAATCTTTGGGTTCTGTGTAAGCATAAAGTGAAGAGTAACAGAGAGCAGTAAGCAACCTGACTGACCTTTGAAGGAATACCTCAGCCAGAGATAAACTTACAACACCAAAAGGCCGCTTTTCTTCCTTTTAACTCCCCTGGCTCAAAAAATCTGTAAGTTAACTGCTGACTACGGATATTACAAAATTTCATTAACCATATATGACACTGAGTACAGTCACTGAAAACAATACTTTAGAAAAGTCACTGAACAGATGGCTTGCAGCCCTCAAGAGGAAATAAACCTCAGGGGAAAGGAGAGAATCTAGTATCTAGAGTTATCATATTATGATACTGAAAAAAATTTTTTTTTGAAAGAGAGAACATGCAAAAGAGGGGGAGGGGCAAAGAGGAGAGAGAATCCCAAGAAGTCTCCGCACCATCAGCACACAGCCCGATGTGGGGCTTGAACTCATGAACCCATGAGATCATGACCTGAGCTGAGGTCAAGAGTCAGATACTTAACCAACTGCAGCACCCAGGCACCCTGAAAATGTCCAGTTTTTAACAACATCAACAATTACAAGGCATACAAACAAAAAGATAAATACGGCACATTAGTACGAAAAGAGGTTGACAGGTATCATCTTTGAGTGAAACAAAACATTGGGCTCAGACTTTCAGGAGAAGACAAACCACAAGAAAAACATAGAAAGACTATATGAAAATGTACTGATGAAAAAGTTTTCAACTTTCACACGAACAGAAAGCAACAAATTCAACAAGGTCAAACAACTCTAGATAGAACAAACTCAAGAGATTCACAGACACAAACTACAATCAAATAATAAAACCCAAAGACAATGAGAAAACACTGAAAGAGGTAAAACAGAAAAGACCCATCACATACAATTAACTAATCCTCATTAAGAATAATAACCAACTTCTCATCAAAAACTATGTAAGGTAGAAGGCAGTCAGACGGCATACCTAAATTATTGGGGGAAAATTGCCAAATAAAACTTCTTTTCTTTTAACTGTTTATTTTTGAGAGAGTACAAGCTGGGGAGGGGCAAAGAAAGGGGGTCAGAGGATCCAAAGTAGGCTCTTCGTTGACAGCACCAAGTTCAATGTAGGGCTCAAACTTACAAACCATGAGATTGTGGCGTAGGCTAAAGTCAGATGCTCAACCAACTGAGCCACCCACTGCAAACAAAAGTTCTATGTCCAACAAATTATCAAGCAAAAATGGAAAAAAATATTCCTAGAAAAACAAAAAAGGAGGAAACTTTTTTCTAGAACTCACCTACCATACAAGAAATGGTAAAGGAAGTATTGAACAGACAATAAACAGACAATAACTAGAAGCCATACAAAGATTAAGGGACACTAGCAAAAGTAATTACAGAGGAAAATACAGAAAAAAAAGTATTTACGGGAGAAAATATTTTTGGCCTATAATTTATATTTGTTTCCTACAGGATTTAAAAGACAAATATATAAAACAATAATTATATAACTACTATGTTGTTGGACATACAATGTATAAAGATATCATTTATACTTTTGGAAAACTGGACAGCCACATGCAAAAGAATGAAACCTGACCACTCTCTTACAAGATCCACAAAAATAAATTCAAATGGATTAAGGACCCAAATGTGAGGCCTGAAATTAAAAAATATCCTACGGGGCGCCTGGGTGGCTTAGTCGGTTAAGCATCCGACTCTCGCTTGGGTCATGATCTCGCGGTTCGTGGGTTCGAGACCCGCGTCAGGCTCTG